TTTTCTCGCTTTCAAATTTAACAAAGATGTCATTCTTCATCTCTTCTAAATCTTGGGCTCGATCTCTTTCTCTTTGCATTTCATTCATGATCTCACGGTGTTCAGCCTTGTGTTTTATAATTCGCTCTCTCTCTGTCGACCTCGAAATCTTCCATTTTTTGCTTTCCTTTTTCCAGGCTTTTGAGTAGACGGCTATTCTTTCCTTTCAGATCTTCAACTCGTCTTTTTCTCAATGTTCAATTCTCTGGTCATCTGTACCGTCGATTGGCTGGGTCCTGATGCTTTTCGGGATTATATAACTCCTGGTAATTTTTCTGTAAGGCTCTGTACTCATCTTCACCTTTTTCTTTATCTTTTCTCAACATTGTACATTGTGATGAATGAAAGTCAATGTCAACCCCTAACATAGCTTTATCTTGTCTCATTTGCTCTAACTCTTTCGACCAGCCATCTCTTTCTGCTTCAAACTCAGCTCTCAAGATTTCAATCTCTGATGGAACCACCTTAATGCGATCTTCCATAGAGATATCCTCATTTTGATCTGGTAGAGGAATATTTTCGTTTTTTCTGACAGATCTCCAATCTTCATAATCAGGAGTTAGCATTTCTTTTGCTGCTTTAGCTCGAATACAAAAAGTTGTTTTCCAAGCTGTAACGGCTTCCATGATATTTCTTTTATAATTTTTGCTGTGGAATGCGAACTCAGATGACTGTAGTCCAGCAGTGATAGGTACAAATTGACGACCTTCATACTGTCTTATAACCAGCAGTGGTGCATATCCAATTCCTCCCCATAATCCGAGCAGCATTATCCAGTTGTAATCACCACATCTGTAAAAGAATTCCCTTTGTATTTGCCACGGGGCTCGCCAAACAACGTCATTGCTTTGCAGATTTCGAAAGGCATTAATCCACATATCTTTCTTAATTTCTTTAGGCCATTCCTGCTCTAGAAATTCTTTTAATGGTGAGTAATCCGTATTGAAGCGTCGGTATGAAACCTTTTCCGTCCTCCAGAAATGACTACGGATCCAAACATATAACAACTGGGTACACCCTGAGAATCGTCCACCTCCTAACCTTCTGCAAGCATTTAACGATCTGAAGGTCTCTGCTAGGATGGCAGAAACAGGATTAATCTTCTTCGGTAGCTGTTCAAACAAGTCTACCACTGCAGCTTCAATATATCCCAAAACTTTTGGGAAGATGACCATACCATACATACCCAGAGCAAATAGATCGAATCGTACTTTAATATCTGGATGGCTCTGAATAAGTTCTCTGATGTTGGTCCAAGCAATGCCTTCGCTTTCGCCTTTTTTGTTTCGTACGGGATGCTACCCATTCTCTCGTACCCCGGCAATTTTGCTAATTTAACTCGAAAGGGTTGAGTTTTAATTGACTTTGAATAGATTCGATTCTCCAAAGCCCCTTCGATATGTAGCAAAATTGTGTATTCTTCAATAGTAGGGACCAAGTCTTCCTTATTGAGAGTGAAGCAATTGTACCCTGGATTCCAGAATTGAATTAGGGCTCTGAGTAATTCATCATCAACTTCAACATAGAGCAAATATGGGATGTCTCCGTAAGTCTGATAAAACTGCAATTTTTGTTTGAATCCCAACTTTCCCAAATGCTTCGCAATCTTGCATATCATTTCTTTTTAGTGAAACTGAAGCATAACTGGCCAATTCAGATACATAATCATCCTGCAGACTGTCTCCTTCTTGTCTTTGTAAATCCTCAGCCCACTGTCTTACTTCTGAGTTTAGAATTACTTGATTTGAACACTTTTTATCCATAGATGAAGGCTTTCCAATGCGACAATTAACACAAGGATCAATGTCTTTTATCCTGTATGATGCAATGCAAACAGAAAAATAATGAACACACAAAAAGAAAATAAGTTAGTTTAAAGAATAATAACATTTACATAAATATTCTTTATTTAAACATGCTTTTCTGAATTTAAATAATTTAAATAAACATGTATCTTAAACAATAAATAAATTAACAGGAAAGACAGAATTCATTTCTCCTATGTGTATACCTATTTTGGACAAAATTTCGGCATGACTTCGGATTGGAAGAGTTTCTAAGGTTTTTTATATGCAGAGTTTCAGATCTAGGAGTAAAGGTACTCGAATTGTCCATGTTAGTGCCCCCTTAGGCTGCTAACCCTCAATCCTAATCCATTACAGACTAAAGTGGATCGAGTTCAATTCGAGGGGATACATTTCTCTATGCCTGACACGGAGAATAAATTCTCATGAAGACATAGAGCATATGAATCCCGAAAGTTACTTGCTAGGTCTGACACGGAGAATAAATTCTCACGAAGACGTTGCTTTCACTCCCACTTAAAAGGGACGAACTCAATTATAGAGCTTTATGTTATGCAATGCAAGTGTTGTGTGTGAGGAGAAATGTTCAAACTTTAGAAAAATAAATAATGAAATAAAATACTTGCAAAGAAAATAAAACATATAAATATTATAAAAATAATAAAAAATTTGAAAAGAAAGAATTAAAATAAATATATGAATTTTTAATTTTTAATTAATAGAGACAATTTATAATTGATTTTTTTTTTTAAAAAGTTTGACCGTCCCCAGCGGAGTCGCCAAGCTGTCGTAACCGGTTTTCGTCCGGGCACGAAATATTAAATTTGGCGGGAAAAGTGATGTGAATAAATGGTTTTGAAAATAATTTGGGAGTCGCCATCGGCCTTTTGGGTCAGGTAGGTCGAATACCTAAAAAAATATCTTTTAAAAGAGTTTTAAGAAAACATCAATTAAAAAAAAATAAACTGATCTGCGTTTATAACCAAAAATTCGTTCTTTTTAATAATAAAAAGGGATTCGTGGTCGGTTACGTTTAGGGAAGGATTAGCACCCCTAGAACGCCCAAAAATTGGTACTTTTTAATTATAAATTGTCTCTATTATTAAAATTTAAAAATTCAAAAATATATTTAATTTATAATCCTATTATTTTCAAAATTATATTTATTTAAAAATATCCGAAAAGAACTTCTAGGTGCCTTAAGACAGCTCTTTTCTTTGATATTGATAAATATTAATTTAAATAATATTGTTTACTTTTTAATTTTTAAAATATCAGAATAGGACATCCAGTTGTATTAAGACTGTCCTTTTCTTCGATATTGAAAAATATTAAAATAATTTATTTTAAAAAATATAAATTATTATTTCATATATATTTATGACTATATAATAGTAAAAATATTTAAATATATAACAATTAAAACAATAAAAATACAATTAGAACGATATATTTAAAAGCAGTAAGATAAATGAAAACATTTAAAATTAGTGACTAAATTATAGTAAAAATTAAAATTAAAAACCTAATTCATAATTAATTAAAATTATAGGGTTTAAACATGTTATTTTCTTATTTTATTAATTTAGTGACTAATTTAAAACTATATAAAATTCGAATATCATATTAAAATAAATTAAAAATATACTCGGGATTAAAATATTATTATCAAAATTAAAGGACTAAATATGATATTTATCTTAAATATATTATTAATACGGTTAATGGCTAAAATATAAATAAATAAAATGTAGAGACCAAATTAAAAGGATCAAAAATTTGATTCAGTGACTAAAAGGTAAAGATTACAAATTAAAGGGATGGCGGACGAGATTAATCTTTTTGTTAATTACGGACAGATCCCTCCCCAAAACGGCGTCGTTTGGGGAGGGCTATTTAAGCCCATTCATAGCTGGCCCGAAGGGCCAGCAGCTCATTCCTATCTTCTTCTTCTTCTCTCAAAAACGAGAGAAGAAGCTCTCTCTTCCTTCTCTCTTAATTCCCTCACCGGAGGGAAGTCCGGCGCCGATAGCCACCGCCAACCTCACCGCCGGCCACCGCCTCCGGTGGCCGGAAAATAAAACTTATACCATAATGTAGATCGGATCGTCCTAATGACGATTCCGGTATTTGTTTACCTTAAAAAGCTTTCAATCGGAGCAAATCTTTAAAAATACCTTCGGTTTTCGAAGGTTTGTTGTGGAGCGTGGAGGCGCGTGGTTACTCCGATGGTGGTGTGGCTTTCCTCGGTAAGTCTCTTCTTCCTTTTTCTCTCTTTTTTCTTCTGGTTCTTTGTGCTGAGATCGTTGGTACTAGTTTGTTTTTTTTTTTTCTCTTCTTTTCTTCTCCGTTCTCTGTCTCTGTTTTTTTTTTTTTTTTTTCGCAGATGGGTGGTGGCTTTTATAGCCACCACCGGTGTTCGTCTCAGACCGGTCCGAAGAGGGGCTCTCGGTGAGTCACCGGACTACCAGTGGTGACTCACCGAGTAGCCATGGCGTGGACGGCTGGTATATTATCTTCTGGAGTCTTCGGTTGGGACGTGGCAGCGGCGGAGGCGACGAGATAGCAACGGCGGCCGCGTGTCCCTAGGGTATCAGACCCTAGGGTTTCCCTCTGGCACCATCTGGACCGTTGGATCTTGCCAGATCCAACGGTTGTGAGCTGAGGCGGCTGGGTAAATTAGGGTTAGGAAACCCTAACTGGAAACCCAAGTATTTAGGGTTTCTGGTTAGATTTAGATCGGTTCTGGTTGGTTTGTAACTGGGCCGGTCCAGTTGTAATTGGTCTGTAATTTATTATTTATTTAATATATATTTAATAATAATATATATAATAATATAATAATAATAATAATAATACTAATAATAATAATAATAATAATATGGATAAAAAATTAGTATCTTCAGGTTTTATTAAGAAATTTAATAAAATATAAAAATAATAACAAAATCAATAGAAATAATGATATTTTTGATAATTTTTATTAATTTTTTTATGTACAACAATAATAAAACATGTATAACTTTTTTTAACGGTATAGTAAGCGCCGCACGTGAGCATTTCCCCCTCCCCACCAGCTGCTGATTGCAGCATCATCATACCCATTTCTCCATAATTACCCTGTTTCTTAACACCCAAAGTTCTGATTCTTTCTTAACACCCAAAATTCTGATCCTTCCCATCTGATCCACTTTCTATCTTTGCCCAAACCCCACAAAGAATCCATCTACCTCTGCTGATCTCATCATCTTTCTCCAGAAGTTCGTTACTTTATTCACCTGTTCTTTGCCCTCTTCTTTGATTTACACTCGGATGATATTCTCACAGGTTGGTTATTCACAACAATCCAATCTTATACCTATCCAATGTTGGTATGGTTACTGTTTTTCTTATTTTTAGATCATCTTCTTTCTTTCTCTATGGATAGTGAAACCAAGGATCAACTACTCCATATTGGGAATCTTATGATTGGGTTCTTTTCGTTCGTCATCAGAAAATTGAGGACTTGATAAAGCTAAGGCCTTCAATTTTCTCAGGTGATCTTCTTTACCATAGCTTGAATATTGTCCTATGATCATTGGAATATGATGAATTTCAAAGCTATAGTGTGATTCTAGGATTCATTGCATTGCATATAGGCATATAAATGAATCAGAATATGTTTTTATATATAATTCTACCCTGTTGGCAAACATGACATTCACCAGTCATTTTAACTTATCTAATCTATGATGTGATAATTGTAAAGCGAGTGTAGCATATAGCATGTGACTAATGGAATATTTGAGGTTGAACCATTGCTGAATGGAGGAGATATGGGATCCTAACTCTTATGTTGCTCATCACAGTTTATACTGATTGCCACAACCAACGAGCTTTATTCTCCCTGATTCAAGTTTCAGTATTTGAGTGATTCTCGATGGCTGATAACCGGAGTAGAAATGTCAAGCCTGCAAGTGGCAAGCCACCAGCGTCTGCAGCCGCCAACCCATTCACTATCAATCTAGATAACTTCAGCAAGCGGTTGAAGATTTTATATTCACATTGGAATAAACATGGTACGGATCTATGGGGTGGTTCTAGTGCTCTGGCCATCGCGACTCCCCCTATTTCGGAGGATCTGAGGTACTTGAAATCCTCGGCACTAAATATTTGGTTGGTAGGCTATGAATTCCCAGAGACCATTATGGTTTTCTTGAAGAAACAGATCCATTTCTTGTTTACCCAAAAAAAGGCATCTTTGCTTGATGTTGTGAAGAAGTCTGCCAAAGAAGCGGTTGATGTTGAAGTCATTATTCATGTGAAGGCCAAGGGTGACGACGGGACCTGTCCAATGGATAACATTTTTCGAGCTATCTATTCTCAGATGAACTCCAGTGATAGTGATGTGCCTGTTGTAGGTTGCATATCAAGGGAAGCACCCGAGGGAAAGATTTTGGAGGCTTGGGATGAAAAGTTAAAGAAAGCAAAATTTGAGCTCACCGATGTAACAAATGGATTCTCAGACTTATTTGCTGTGAAAGATGAAACTGAGCTTACACATGTGAAGAAGGCTGCGTTCTTCACTTCATCTGTTATGAGGCAATTTGTGGTGCCCAAACTTGAGAAGGTCATTGATGAGGAGAGGAAGGTTTCTCACTCGGCATTGTTGGATAATACGGAGAAGACTATATTGGAGCCGGGTCGAATTAAGGTGAAATTGAAGGCTGAGAACATTGATATTTGCTACCCTCCTATTTTTCAGAGTGGAGGAGAGTTTGATCTAAAACCAAGTGCTTCAAGCAACGATGAGAATCTTTATTATGACTCCACCAGTGTCATTATATGTGCACTTGGGTCTCGATACAACAGCTACTGTTCAAATATTGCTCGAACTGTTTTGATTGATGCCAATTCCAAACAAAGCAAGGCATATGAGGTCCTCCTTAAAGCTCAAGATGCAGCCATCGGTGCTTTGAAATCTGGGAACAAGGTGAGTTCTGTTCAAATTTGAAGGATGTTAGAAAATGAAATATTATTTTCATGTTTTAGATAAGAGAAATTTGTCTCAGAATAGTGTAATTTTTCAGATTTGACTGAACAATGGAATTTTAGTGACTAAAATATAATTTTTGAAAATTGCATGGCCAAATTAGAAAGTCAAAGTCAAGTTGATTCATCTTTAATCAAAGAATATTTTAATGGAAGATAATGCAATGACACTTGGTAATTATCAAGTTTCATTAATGATATTTTTTGGATTTTTCATTAATTGAATTTTATATTATTAAGCCAAATGTATCAGTTGATAAATACTAGAATAGTCAAGAAAATAACCACATTTTCAGTCATCTTCAAGCTTAGGACCGAATACACCATAGCCAAAAAGACCTCAATAAATCTAGTGATCCAAGTAACTCGAAAAAGAAGAAAAAGTGCGGAAATTGAGAAGATTATCGAGGAGGAGATTCGATGGTAATGCAAAGGTAAGTGCATTTAATTCGTGTTTGTATTATCATACAAATATTGGCTTGCGATGAGCCAGCGACGGAGTTACTATGGTAATAAGTGACTCATAATGTTATGTGAATTGTGATTCTAGCCTAAAGGTTCATTTATTAAGCTTATAGAATTATGAAATTAAGCTAAGGATGCTAATTAAGGAAAATTGTCTAAAAATTAAAATTCGAACATTCAGTTTAGAAATTCACCATAAATTTTAAAGAATTTATTAGAGGATGATTTATATATCATTAGATTTGTATATCAGCCTACCTTCGTTTAAAATAGACGGTGACTGATTTCGAGGTGTATACAAAAAGATATGAATTTTTAATAGGTGATAAGTCATAAAACAGGGCAGCAGATTCTGCTTGAAACAACTTATTTCAGTCAACTTTGAAAATTCGCTATAAATTGTATAAGTGGAACTAGATGAAGTGAATTATATGGTTAGATTTGTATTCGAGCCTAATTTTCATTAGTACAAACATAATAATTTTTTAGTATATTAATTAATACTGAATAATATTTGTTTGAAGGTAGTGCAAACTGTAATATAAAATTTTGATAATTTGTATATTGAAAGTAGTGGAAGGAAAATGATTTTAAATCTAAAGCTTTGTGAGGCTTATATTTTGATTTAAAAATATTAATAATAAAGTATTAAAGTGAGTGCAGTTTGTTTATTTAATTATTATAGTCGATGACGACTTACGATAAGTCAACTTCATTTTATTTGCGAGTATGATTTATAAATTTTTAGTATGGAATATTTATATAAAATTTTTCATCAAGTTTTATGAATGATTTTGGGTATGAACTACCCAAGTATGATATTTATGATGATGAATTCTAAATATTTACAGTTATCAGATGATTTTCAGTTATCAGATGATTTACAGTTATCAGATGATTTATAGTTATCGGATAATTACAAATATCATATATTTTACAGTTATCATATACAAATTAATAAATGATTCTATGATGATAAATATAAGATCATTGTATGTTGCATTGAGAGTCGTAGATATATTTGACATGCCATTAAGTGAGTACTTATCAGTTTCATATCAACTTTGGTACATTTGTGTATCAATGTTCAGTTATCAGTTCAGCTTTAATACATTCGTGTACCAATGTTCAGCACTGTTGGTGCTCAGGTTATGATTGCACTGAAGTGCATCATATTGTAGTTTCAATTATGATTTGGCATCGTGTCATGCCTAGTGCACACCATAAACTCACTTATCTTATATTTTCTTACATATACATTGGGCTACACAAACAAATATGAAAGTTATGAATGATGTTAGTTAAAAGAAATCATGATATTGTGTTTTTATATAATATTATTCATCAGAATCTTTATGAGTTTATAAGCTAAAATGACAGGAATATGAATTGTTTACGATAGTTATTATTGATTTACAAAATTTTTGATGAAATCATGTGAGGGTGATTTTTAGGTTTCAAGGGAAAATCAGCCTGAACAACTTGGTTTGAAAGATTCAATATTTTCATTAAAATTTTAGTTTCATGTTATAATACCCTATGAAATTTATATTTTATATCATTTTAGTTATGTTATTGCCTCACTAAGTTTTACTTAGCGCGTGATAATTTTCATGCGTAGGTTTGAATAAAGTAGAGGACGTGAAGTGAGGAGTTTGACAGCATCTTATAGAAATCAAACATACCGATAATATTAGTTAGATATCTAACTTTGTTTTATTAGTAACATGTACATTATATCAGTTAGGTTGCTTTATCAAATTTATTTTCAAAAGGGTCCGTAATATTAATTTAGGACTATTTAATTTTGGTTAATTTTAGTTATAGTCATAAATATGAATGAATATTACGAACGGTTTTAAATGGTTTTAAAATTAAGCAATATTAGGGAGTTTTATATAAATAAGAAACCGTATGGAATTGCCTAATTGCTACATAAGATCAACCTATTTTGGAATGATAAATTATTATTTTACGAATATGCATGCTAAATGAAGCATATATAAAATTTATAAAGGAATGTTTTAAAATGAAACTAAATTTTCAGCATTTACTTTTAGTGAACTTCCTAAAGTTGATGTGACATATTTAGCTCGTATTTTGAGTTATATACGGGTTACGGGTGTTACATGTGTAACCTCATTCTCTCTCCCCTATGTGGTGTCTTTAAATAATAAAAAATATATAAGGGTATTCTTGGGTTTTTGCATCAAAATATCCATCATACCCATAAAATCACTCCTTATGCGTGAGGTTTATCTCCACAGGTGGCAGTGGTCCTCAGCAGGCGTTGCAACCATCATACACATGCCTTGCCATTTGTCCTTTTATAAAAATATCTTTTTGTCTTTTTCTACGCCAGAAATGCCAATGTATTTCATCTTTCTTCCTCAACGTGTGATGTCACGACATAATTTTCCAACTCACCCTTTGCTTGTTATTTCCTGCACATCACTAAAAACGACACATTCCTCCTCATACAACACCTTAACAAAATAAAATAACATAGCCACCACAAATGCAATTATAGGCAGCTACATACATCTAAAATGACCTAAATGAACCCTTAGACAAACAATAACTTAAGTGAAAATGCCTTAAAAGTAGCCATTTTACGGAGTTATCAGCAGTTGTATGTGGATATGAAACAACATTGAACTTCCTAATTGTTGACTAAAATCATATTTTTTTTCAATGATCAAACAATATTTTATAAATTTATATGATTAAGGAAAAAGTTTTTAAAGTTAAAAATGAAATTATTAAATGAAACAAAAATTTTAAGCATTTAAGTTCAACAAATGTCAGCTAAGGATATTACAAGAAGGGTTATTTGTCAACGAAAACTTTCGAGTTTGATTCCATTCAGCTCGAGATTGCACCAACCACATGGTAGCAGCGAGAAACTACCTTTTGATCAAAATTTAAACCGATGTCTTTAAGCCAAGAAGAAGACCTAGGTTGACTACGATTTGGCAATAAGGAACCACTTTCCAGTCAAATTTTGACATAGCTTAAGGTGAGAAGAGTTATCTATCAACCAAAGTTTTCAAGTTTGATTCCACTCAGCTCAAGAGTGCATCGACTGCATGGTAGCAGCGATGAACTATCTTATGGTCAAAAGTCAAACTGAGGTCTTTAAGCCAAGAAGAAGACCTAAGTTGACTGCGATTTGGCAACAAGGAATCACTTCGCTATTAAATTTTGACATAGCTTAAGACGAGAATAGCTATCTGTCGACCAAAGTTTTTGAGTTCGATTCCACTCAACTCAAAATCGCATTGACTATATAGTTATATCAAGGAACTACCTTCCAATCAAATTTCAAAATAAGGTCTTTAAACCAAGAAGAAGACATAGGTTGACTGCGATTTGGCAACAAGGAACCATCTCCTAACCAGATTTCGACATAGCTTAAGTCGAGAATCTATCGAGTAAAGCTTTCAAGTTCGATTCCACTCAACTCGAAAGCGCATTGACCATAGGATGGCAACGAGGAACTTCCTTTCGGACAAAAGCCCTTAAGTCCAGTAGAAGACTCAAGACTGATTGTGATTTAGCAACCAGGAACTACTTCATAATCCAAAACCAACCCGCGATGAAAAAGTAACTCACACATAACTTAAGTAAAGAAACGTTATATGTCAACCAAAAGTATTCAAGCTTATAGCATATTGATTGCATAATATCAACAAGGAACTATCGTATTGAAAAAAACTTCAAAGTCAATTTAAATTCTGAAGCAAAGGATATCAACTACAGTCTAGCAACGAGGAACTAGACTCCATGCCTATATTCAAAAGATATTCGACTTAGAGAATGGTCACCTATAATTTCGACCTAGTTCGATCTGATTCTTGAAGAAAGAAAGCGTCTCAATACCATAAGAGTGAGCTCGCCTTCAAAACCCATTTTATTTCAAGAACGGATAAAAATTTGTGTCCTTTTATCTTTATTTATTTTTGTTACACTAAAATAGATAAATAAGGACAACTGTAGACACCTATTTTCGTATGGAATTTAATTCAATTTTTCTTCTTCTTTTTTTCTTCTTGTAATACTTATCAAGTATTTAACATTAGTGTCATATGTTATATATTATTATTATCATTATTATTAATAATACTATTACTTATTATTTTCATGGGTACTAATAGTTTTGGTTTATTTTTACAGGTTCAATTTACAAGAACGATCCAGGAGAGTCCACATTACAAGGTTCAATTTACAAGACCAATCTAGGAGAGTCCACATTACAAGCCCGATAGTGGAAAGACCCAATATGTTATTCCAACTAGGCAAACCCTAGGGCACCGAAACACCATCCAGCCGTCAGCCCCAAATGGCATCCAGCTTACACGCACGTGCAACCATGCACGACCACTTGAAACCCCACTCGACGATAATAGGATTCCACGCGTCAAACAACGAAGCTTCCTCAGCAAAGTTATGGAAAGAAATCTGCAAGGACGACAAATCCAAAATTTACAAATATTC